TTTTTTTTTTATCCATTTCAGATTTAAAAAAACACAGGAAAAGTTAATCTTTGATCCAAGATGTCATCCGCAATCCGGAAACCAGCTGCTACATTTCATAAAACCGATTTCTGGTTCTCCGAATAAAGAGCTTTGCAGAAGACATATTTAATTTCACAAAAAAGTAGAGAAAAAATGCAGCAGACGGTACAGATTTCCCAAACCACGGACAAAATGGTCCTCCGGGGTTCGAAGCGAAAATCGCAGAACCGGAAACGGTACCCGGATGTTCCGGTGGCACAGCCGCAGATTGCAGGTCAGTTCCGGAAGAAATGGATAATTGTTATAATTATAATATATATATATATATATATATATAATATATATATGTATATCATATATAAAATTCATCTGTACGGATGTATAATTTGATACTTCTCCTAAACGGTTATTCGTATTTTGATAATTCTTTTTAGAGTTTATCAAAATAAATTTTTAAGAATTATAGAACGATAAAACTATAGTAATATTGCAAAAATAAATTGCAAAAATTACAAAAAATACTTATCACTGTTTGACATTAATAACATTTGAAATGTCATCTGCTAAAAATGTCAATTCACTTAAAATTTGAATTTATCTGAAATTTTGAGCCTAGATAATATTAGAATATAGTATACAAGAAAAATGTAATATTTATATTATTATTACCGGAAAGCAGCTGAGATGAGTCATTATATAAAATGATATAAGATACAGTCAACAGTATATGTTTGGCAGATTAAATTATATAATTCAGATTAATATATAACGCAACTAGTCCATTATTGCATATACATTATGTTTTTAAACTTGTGCATGCCGCATTTTGGTTTACTAATTTATTTACCAATACAAAAAAATAATTGTACTTATTATTAAAAAATGATTTATAATTTTGTTTCATGCGTCAAAAATCATTTGTTGGCATTGGATATGGAATATTCAGCACAGTTGATATTAGATTGAAAAGTGCTCATATGAACTAGATTTTACAAATCAATTCACCTAAAATTTGAAAATGAACAATAATGTTTATTAAATTATTAGTAAGAAAATGTACTTTGGAAATTATAATTGCTATAAAACAACTTATATATCGTACGAGTTTTTAAAAATTATAGACTAAATTATCGAAGCAATTATGTTGTGTGGCAAAATCAAGTGTGATATTGTTCTTTTACCCCAGATACTATATTATTTTTTTCTGAATTTCTTATATTGCTTATGCTAAGACCATAAATGAATCATAAAGGCAGGAAATCAAATAAGACAACAAAAAGTATACGATAGGATATTAAAAAATTTGGAACTTTTGAGTCGTAGACGTGAGTATAGAACAACGTCTGACGGGTTATCTAGTATATATTTATATATATATATATATATATATATTATATGAATTCTAGATTTTTTTTCTATATATTCGATTATTGCATTTTTCATTTGCAGCCAAATAATCCTGTAATAATAACACACATACATTTTCGAAACGTTCAGATTAAATAATCAATTATTCATTGCTTTTCATTTCATCTATTTGGGAGCAAATAAATATTTCAAGAATACGTATATAATAAAGCTGAGTTGTTTGAATTTTTTTTAGTACAAGTTTCATACATTTTAGTTTGATGCTACTTCTGTGAATGGAACGCATAAATTATTAAAAAAAAACACGAGTTAATTATAATAATTTCAGAGATATATAAGTTCTTGGAAGAATCAACAGTTGTCTTTCAGTGCTTGCATGATCTTAGCAGCTTTTTTAAATTTTTATTGCACTTTTTAAAACTTTTCGGGTTGTCGTAATACAACAAAACTACTTTCTAAAAATGCAGAAAAAACTAATCTTCTGCACCAAAACCTCCTTCTGAATTTTGATTATGAAAGTAATTTAAGTGCATGCAATTTAAATGCAAATTCGGAACTTGTCACATATTCCATGACTCTTTGAATAATTATAAAAAAAAATGAAAAGATGAATATATACGTAATTATTCGAATTTTGTTCATTTTATCATTTTCAGTAGCAATTCAAAATGGAATGAATCTAATTAATTTGTAGCATATTCATAGTTCACTAAATTTTGTCAATTACTATGTAGAAAAGGCACACTTTATGCAAACTACAACGAAGACTTTCAAGTCGAGATTTAATTAAGTTGTGCTGACTATGAATAATTAATTATTAAATTTATTAGGTTTATTTCAATTTAAATTGCAAACGAAGATAGCAAAATATTGTAAGTGGAAAGACTTCATTGAATAAAAACAGGATAAAATATTTTTTTATTTTATTTGATGCTTTGACCTGAAAAATTTGATACATATTTCCACATCAGAATAAATTTAGAAATATATATAAATATATAATATATTATATATATATATATATATAAATTAAACTTTTTTTTAATCGTCGATTGTGCCATGAGTATAAAATATCAACGTGAGCAATCAAATTTTATAGCAACATTAAAAACAACTTAATAAATATTATTACAATAGTTCGTAAAGACTATTATGTATTATTTCCAAATGCTATATTATATATATAGAAATATTTCGTAACACTCGACATAGTGAAATGAATCATACATTAATTTCAATTTATTTTGCAACGCATCGAAATTATCAGTTTTTAATTAAATTTAGAAATCATACTTCAAGTTACATATTTTAATTATAAATTACCTCTCATCAGTAAAATAATGTGAATATTAATTTTTATTTTGAGATAAAAATTTGTCCTGACAAAACTATTTAGATCAGGTTGAGCTAAAATTTACTGGAGCGATCAGAAATAACTTGGAATGGTATTTTTAGTACAGGCAAGATTTATTACCATGTACCTGTTGCTAAAATAAATTATTTCGAGTCAATGATGAATTGGACATTTAATTTATTACTGACTTTAAATTGGAAAATTTCTGGTGGCAAAAACTTAAAAAAAATACACCTGACAAATGTTTAGTCAGAGACTTACATTTTTTAATCCAGCATTACCATGGTGCTAGAGCTTTTAAATTTAAATATTATTAATAAATTATACGACTATTTATAAATTAAATGCGTATCATATATTAAAAATAATCGATGTAGTTTCATATAAAAAATACTCAATTGTCCAAAAAATTCAATCATTTACATCAATAAATAAAAAAAAAAAAAAGCTAATAACTAAATTAATGTATGTTTTGAATTTTATATATTTTGTAGGTACCAAAAAAGTAAAAGACCAATACATAAAAAATATACTAAAGCATTATAATTCTTATCAAAATTTATTTTCATTTATTAAAAAAATTAAAGCATGCAATGCAAATAGAAATTTATTTCAATTCCAATGATTTTCGTGTTTATTATAAGTTATTAATCACTTTTACCTATATATATTTATGCCATGGTAATTTTATAAATTTTAATACTTATGTAATAAATCATTAAGATAAACAGAAATTATGCAAGTTGCCATTCGTATTTGTTAAGGTTAATCTTGTTTATTGTATATATATATATTATATATATATATATATATTTGTTTGAAAAATATAAATATCACTATGATTATTAATTATGAAAGTATTATAAGTACTTGTAAACAAAATCAATGCCAGACTTTGCAGGCAAAACAAAAAGTATCTTAAAGTACATAAAAAGCGAGATTTTAAAATAAATTATAATGTAATTCAAATGCAAAAAAAACTTTTCATAACATAATATTTCCATTTCTACTGCTCAAAGTTTTTCAGCATGATTTCAGAATTCTTTCAGACTTGGATTAAAGTTTGCATTTAATTCTGTCTTTATATGAAAAAGTAAAAAAATTAATTAATTTATTTTGTGGCGAGTTTAAAAAGAATAATTTGAAATAAATGTGAATTCCCAACATATATATAATATATATATATATATATATATATGTGTGTGTGTGTGTGTGTATGTATAATATACTCATGATCACAAATTTTCAATTATCAATCAATTAAAACAACTGGGTTAATGAGTTTTAAATCAAATACTTCTCGATTTTGCGTTTCATATTTAATTTCCTCGCCAACGATAATTAATAATATAAAAGCAAATAACGATTTAAATATAATTCACATAAATGTTCCGAAATTCAATTAATTTCTATCAATGTTCCTGGAACCTTCGTTCGGCACTTGAAGTCAAGTGATCTGTTTATATGAAAAGACGACATTATGTTATTTTTACCCTAATCGATGAAAACAAGAAAATATGGAAAAGGAAAATAAATATTGAGAAATCTTACTAGCAAGCAAAATACTTTTATTACGCAGTATTGCTGATATAAAAACGTAAAAAGAATTTAAAATATAATATAAGTTTAAATTATAATTGGCCAAGGTATCCCATGGAGTATAATTAATGTATTTGTTTCCTCCTTCATAACCATATAAAAAATTTAAGGCTTATTCATTGTAAACAACTCATAACTTTTTGTGCAAAAATAAAAAAGCAGAATATTGCAAGAATTGTTGATTTTATTTTCCATATTTTAACAAACTCCAAACAAAAACTACGCAACCAATCAAAAAACTCTTTTACTGATGGACATCTAAATTGGACTACGTCAGCAAACCTAAAAATTCAACTGAAATCATCTGACCAGAAAACTTTATTTATATATTTGCCAATCTAATAATCAACTGCGTCACATACAAATTCCCAAAAAGTATTATTCAAAACAAAAATTCATCATTACGTCAACATGAACTTGAAAACGAAACGCAACCAATTAGTGCAGATATCAAAACCCACTCGTATATCTGGATTTTCCACATTAATTGTTTCTTTATATTTAGATATGATTTTGATACGATGGATTTTCTTACACCTCGCATAATCCGTTTTCCTATTTCGGGAAATCTTCAGAATAAACGATGTAAACATACACTTTGTATATGAGGGAAGGCCTTTTCTTTAATGAATGTGGATTTAACGATTCAGATTTGCAAGGACAAAGACGACCGGTGTCAGATTTTATGAATATAAAATTTTAACAAAACAAGGGGAAAAATAAAAATAAATTATAAATGATAAAAATATAAAATTGTAAAGAAATACTCAATTCAGTATTAGTAATTGTACGAAAACACATGAACGAGGATTAATTTTAGTTAGTTTTGCACGATGATCTCATTTTTTTGTCGATTTTGATTATTTTTTTAGTGAAAGCGTAAATTTTATATTTAAAAACGAAACTGTTAAAAATTTTACCTAGGTTAATCTCAATTCTTATTGATTAAGTTG